GAATCCTAGACACGCATCCATTATTTCATACTGTCGTTACAGATAAGGCCTCAATACATCTTTTTTTTCTCTTTTTTATTGATCATACAACTCCTACATCTTACTTATTGAATACAGGTAAAGGTTTAAATCACTCTCTACTACCTTGGTTATTATAATGTGTGAGATGAAATCAAAAACATGAAAAATTGCATTCAATATCTAGTGGTGAAATCAAGAGGGGTGCGGCAGCTTACTACACTTTAATTCAGGGGTGGGCATCAAAATCAGTTGGAGGGCCAAAGTGAATTTTTGACTAAACACCGAGGGCCGCTTTCAAACTTTGATGTTTCCAATGTGCTTTCAAAAATTTTACACCACTTTATTCTCAGTTAAATTACTATTTTTTTAGAGATGGCCGGGCCGCAAAAACCACCATGTTTTCTAGCCAAAAATGTTTGGCGGGCAGCACATGTAGGGTTTCTAATTCATTTTCACAGGCCGCAAATACACACACACTTTGCCCACCTGTGCTTCAGTTGACAAGCGATTACGTTAACAAGAGAAAAAATTGAAGGCATGACTACTTTCTAATACTGCAGTAATACAGCTACAAGATATTACTGCATAACAATTATAATTTGTTTGCATCAGCAAGTTTATAGAGTTTGTATGCTTTCAATGTTATACTCTGGATGTCATTGTAACTTTACATATGTTTTGTAATTCTATAATTTGAAAAAATAAATAAATATAATAAACAGGAATAAATCAGCTTTAGAGACAACATGAATTACAGTGAAACGTTCAACCTCACTAAATCAAATACAACATGGCTTTATCAACTTTAAAAAAAAAATTGATTCATCGTTTGTTGGGTAAAGTCCAGTTAACGTGGGATATCTGCCTGAAGCCATTTAATTGTCGTTATCCATGCAAGTCAATGTTTTTTTTAGCTCTGATGAGGAGCTGTAGAAACACAACATTACAGTATTGAGCTAGAATTGTTAACGACAAATTTTAGACTACGCACAGTTGAATTGAGCAAGGCAGACTATGTATAAATTTGATTTAAGAGGCATGTACAGTAGTTAAAAAAAAAATGTAAGCACGCCCCAAAACCAAGCTGACTTCCATGCAATTAATCTTCCTATTAGTGGTTTATTTCATAAAATGTGTTTCTGGTTAATCTACATGGTTAGGCTACATGAAAATAAAATCATATATTGCAGATATATGAGCAATGTAATTACATATATTTTTCTTTCACATTTTACATTTTATAAATTTATTTCATGAAAAATTTAACAAATTTTCAAGACACTTTAGTAAAAATAACAATCTCATGTTTTAATGATACACACCCACCTCCCCCCTTCCCCCCCCCCCCCAAAAAGCAAAAGGTGACCAATCAGAACATCAGAAATTAATGATTTGATTGGTCAGGTCCAAACAAGTTGCAAGTCTTCATCAAGATCTGCCGTCCCGTCACTGCAGGTTTCTGGTCAAATCCGTCATACACGCGCTTTGTTCTTACGCAGAGTTGCAAGATGTGTGGCACACACGTTGTGATGTAACCCCGCTGTAGTTACCCAGCTACGACTTTTAAACAAGAACATGTCAAGATCCTTATATACTGCATCTATTGTGTCCATTAGCGATGTTATGCTTGGAAAATTGAACTTGATGTCTCGTTTAGTTAACTAGTTGTAGAGGGCATTCAACAGCAGGGTCTAACCTCAGCATCCTTTTGCCATAATATCTCCACCCGAGTTTTTGGTAACTGATAGTGTTGTAAAAAGCTGGAAGAAAAAAAACAACGTTTTTCACTTTTCTTTCATTTCATTAACAAAACAAATTTTAAAATAGAGCAGCCACTCCACAGACTATATATATTCGCCCTGTGCCTAATACCAACAATACGCAGGCCGTGTATGATAGGCAAAACTGCAGAATACCCTCAAGAAAACAATGGAATCGCCCACTGTATTCAGGTACAGTATATTCTTGAGTGCTACCTGAATACACGGGGTGATTTCATTATATTATTTTACGCTTGAGTAAATTAAATTTTTGTGATCTTCACATTTGACCTTTTTTCCAGAAAATTGAATGGCGTCCTTTGAATATTATGCACCATTCCACTAAATTTTATGATAATCCATTCATTAGTTTATGCATAATCTTGCTGACAAAAAGACAGACAACAGTAAATAGATAACCTCCTTTGCAGAGGTAATAATGGATTTTTTAATTTAAAAAAAAATCAAATTACCTCAGAAACAGTTGGATGGATTCCAATAGTTGCATCAAAATGTTGTTTGGTTGCCCCACACTTCATGGCAACTGCATACCCTCTGTCTCTTATACACATCTAGATGTGTATAAGAGACAGATTTCATACTGTCGTTACAGATAAGGCCTCA